AGTTACCATTCAAAAAAAAATTAAAAGAAAATTATGTAACCAAAACATGTGTACCCGTATAATATTCTGAAACAAAAAATAATAATTAAAACTTTGTGTAAGTTCTTTTGGCAAATACCTGCCTAAGTATTTTCCTCATGTTTTAATGGGTCATTTGTATTATTATTTAGTTTTAAGTATTTTTTTAATATGTATATTGTAGGTATATGTTATTTATCAGGCAATGATTTACAAATATTTTCTCTAAGCTTTTGGCTCTTTTAGATGTGTCTTTCATAGAATAGAGTAGATCAATTTTTACTTCCAAATTTAAAGTTTATTTTTGTATGGACTATGCTTTTGGTATAATAATTAAACAAATTTTTCCACCCCAATGTTATAAGGTTTTCTCCAAAATTTGCTTCTAGGAGTTTTATAATTTTAGATTTTACATTTAGGTCTTTGATTTATTTCAAGGCACTATTAGTATGTGGTGTGAGGTATAGGCCAAAATTCTTTTTTTTTTCTAATGAGGATATCCAATTGCCTACACAATTTATCACAATTTATTGGGAAAGTTATACTTTATATACTCCTTGACACGTTTATTGAAAATAAGTTGTTCACTTTTTTTGTATCTACATCTGGATATTTACTTGAAATATTTGTTTATCCTTTTAGGTAATATCACAGTAACTTGACGACTTTAGCTTTGTAATATCTCTTGAATTGAATAGTGCTCAATAGTGTTGTTTTAACAGCTTTGCTTTTATTTTTTTAAAAATTATTTGGTTATTTAGGTTTTTTTACTTTTCATATGAATTTTAGAATAAGTTTGTCAATTTTTATAGAAACGTATGCTGGGATTCCTATTGGGATTACATTTAATCTCTAGGTCAGTGGGGGAAGATACAACATTTTAACAATATTGAGTTTTCTCATACATATATTTAGATTTTTAAAAGTTATTTTAGCAATGTTTTGTAGATTTTAGTGTACAAAGCACTAAAGAGTTTTCTTAGATTGATACATAAACATTTTGTATGGTTAGTGCCTTTATAGAATAAAAAGTGGTATTATTTTCAAAATTAGAAATTCTGATTGCTAGTATACAGAAAATAACTGTTATTTTTATATTAATCTTATGTCCTGTAAGCTTGCTGAAAACAACTATTATCACTTATTGGATCACATAGCTTAAAAAAATATATTAGATTCCATTGTCTTGTATTTATATTCCATTGTGTCATTAGTTTCTTCCTTTCAAATCTGGACTCCTAGTTTTTTTTCTTCCATGCTTCCCTGCTTGAGAACTCCATGGAAATGTTGACTAGAAGTGGACAATATGGATCTTAAAAAAATGTTTTTCTAAACTTAAGACCTCAGGACCTTCAATCTTTTATCACTTAGTGATGATTAGCTGCAGAATTTCACAGGTTGCCTTTGTCAGTTCAGGAAGTTCCCCTCTTCTATTACTTTACTCAGAAGTGCACATCAGGTCTGGATTTCAGATATTGATGAATGTTTTTTGTTGAGTCAATTTAGTTTTCAAATATGGTTAATTATGCTGAATGATTTTCTATACCAACCTTGAATTCTTGGATTAAATTCCAATTGATGATGATTTTTTTTAATGTATTCTTGGATTTGATTTGTTAGCAAATTCTAATAATGCTTATATGTCCTTTATCCTCAGATGCTTGTAAGAGTTCCAATTTCTTTTATCTTTAGTTTGCAAATTTTAATTATCATGTGTCTTGGTATAGATTCCTTTAGCAGGATCATTTTGGGATTCTCTAAGCTTCTGAAATATAGGGGGGTCACATCTGTTACCCAATTTGGGAAGTTTTCAGACAGTGTTTAAATACTCTTTTAGCCCTACTCTTCCTTTTCCTCATGTTTGTGACTCCAATAACATGAACTTTATATTTTGTTACTACCTTGCAGGTTACTGAGACTCTTTTGGGGATGGGGGTGGGGTTGTAATCTATCTTTCATTCAAATTGGACAAATTCTATTGTCCTATCCTTATCTTCATTAATTCTATACTTTGCTTCCTCCACTTTGTCATTGAGCTAATCCAGAAAGGATTTTTTAATTTTTTAATTATATATTTACTTCTTTAATTTTCATTCAAATATTTTATACAACTTATTTCTTTGATGAAATTCCATAATTTTTTATTTGGTTCAAAAGAAATTACAATTTCTTATTAAGAAAATTTTATTAATTTTTTTCAAAATCCTTATCAGATAATCTCAATAGGTCATTTTTGTCATTGTTGTTAATTGTGACAATTGTGTCTTTCAAATTGTGCTTTTCCCAGATCTTAGTGTGACATGTAATTTTGATTATATCCTGGCCATTTTGCCATTTTGTTTATTAGATTATCTGACTCCAAATCTTATTTTAAAATTTTAAAAACAGAAATTTACTGTGTAGCACAAAACTTTGCAGGCTTGGCTACATTTACAACATACAACGTAGAGCTTGTTTGGTGTTACTCTGGTCTTACTGATTTATCCCACCGGGGTGCCCACCATTCCCTGGTGGTGCTATTTGAAAAGATGGAAATTGCTTTCTTAGATTGGCCCCTGTCCTGCACTGATTAGGTGACGAGTTGTGACTAAGAGCATTTACAGGTCGGTTCTTGCTAAGGAGAATCTGCCTGTGGAGAAAGTAGGCTGGAGGGTGGGGACAGCCTTACCTTTGTGGGCATTCTCTACCACAGTGAGGCCTTAGGTGTGGACGGTAGTCTTAGACCCTCAGTGACAGTTTCTTCTCTTAGTGAACATTTGTGATGAGATGACCCTCAGTGCTCCCAATCACAGGATGCCTCTAAGTGGGAAAGAGAATTCTCAGGCCCAGCAGGAAGAGCAGCAGACTGGTCAGGGACTGCTTGTTTGTCACCAGGGGTTCTGACCACTCCCTTTCACTGGCTCTGATGGGCAAGCCTGGTGCTGGCAGCTCATCCCTTCAGTGCAGACCACCAGGAAACAAGCCAGTCTGCTTCCTGCTTTTACTCTGGGGTCAGAAAATCACCAAACTAGTTAGTGTTCCTCTGTCAGGTGGGGGCGTGGGAGACCCCCAGTTCCCGGTTAGTGTTCCTCTGTCAGGTGGGGTAGTGGGAGACCCCCAGTTCCTGGTTAGTGTTCCTCTATCACATGGGGGCGTGGGAGACCCCCACTTCCTGGTTAGTGTTCCTCTATCATGTGGGGGCGTGGGAGACACCCAGTTCCTGGTTAGTGTTCCTCTGTCATGTGGGGGCGTGGGAGACACCCAGTTCCTGGGCTGTCACTCCAATCCTGAGACCCCCAATCGTTTTTTTTTTTTTTTCCTGCCTTGTCAAGTTCTCTTCTTGTTACCTCCTGCATTCTTTTCAGTGTTTACAGTTGTAGGTACTGGGGAGGAACATAGAGGGATGGGTCAATGCCATCTTGGCAGGACTAGAAGTCAAACTATTTTTATATAGCCAGTTATTTAGTTACTTGAGGTTGAGCCATTTTTCTATGTATTTCAAAACAACTTGTATTTCTGTTTATTAATTGCTCCTATGTTAAGTATTCTTGATTATTTCTTTAATTTACATAAGAGTTTAAAATTATAAATATTTTTATAATTTTTCTGGGTATGCTTGCTATAAATAACTCCCCTGCTTCTTGTTGTATTGTTAATTTTTTAAAAATTTACCTTTTACATTTCTTATATTTTTCTTCATATAGAGAAATTAGCATTACTTCAACTGGGGGGCGTAGATCTACGAATTTCATAATTTAAAACATTGAGAATTATTGACAATAACAAACTTTATAATCTTAAGTCCCATTAATAATAATAACAGGTTTGCAGAAAAAGAAGCATTTAATTATGAATTAGGAAAGTAATACCTATTTATTTTTTAAAGAGTTTGAGTGAATTAGGTCAATTATGTTCAATATAAATTACTGCTCTGGTAAATGTATGGAGAATCCTTTTTTTATAATCATTTTTTCTTATATCTTAGCCAATTTTATTATGTAAAATAGATATTCCAAAGGTTGGAGCATAACAAATGCTCAAGAAATATGTACTAATAAATACATTGACTTGTACATTCCATCAGTATTTCTGTAGATTTGAGCATCCTCACAATGCCTAATACCAACCAGAAGCACAGGAAGACCTCAGTCAGTGTGAGTGAAAGGCATGCATCGTGTATGAACGGGGACCACAGAACAGTGAAAAGATGAACACTGGTGGCTGCATTGCTACAGTGATAAATAATTTATTCCCTCCATCTTCTATAAAATGTTTCCAGCTACTTAGGGAAAAAATGGGAGGGAAAAAGAGAAAAAATAACTTCGAGACTTCAATCGTATAAAAATCAGAAGCATAATGATAATTGAATTCTTATTCTTTTTCTTTTTTTAGGTTCAAGTTCTTCGGAATGCAGGAGAAGAAGTGACTCTAACAGTGTCATTTTTAAAAAGAGCACCTGCTTTCCTCAAACTCCCCTTGAATGAAGACTGTGCATGTAAGCATTTATGAAGAGCAGATAACTGGTGCACATCATCACATTTGTGTTCTAAACCATTATTTTCTGGCAGTAGTTGGTTATTTCTTCTTAAAGTCAAGATTCCTGCCTGAATACAGACATTGTCAAGATGCCCTTTTGAAAAGGAAGCAGATGTTACTTTTGTTACAGAGAGTATTGACCACATTGTAGTTATCCTCCATGCTACAATTGGAGGACTATTATCCATCTTGAGATAATTTGAGACTATCTCAAATCTTGAGACATCTTGAGACTATTTGTTTTATAAGTAGGCATCATATCAAATATCATATATGTATTATGTATACCTATTAAGTTTCATTCAGAATATTTGGCGAATCCATTTTCTCTGATCAGAAAATGATGTACTTTGACTTCATTACTGGTCTTGTTCAATTAAAATCTGCACTTGGGTTGTCCTGATGAGAGTAGGAAGATTGAAGGGAGCATTTGCCTTTGTAAAGTATACTAAGTTATGTAAGAGCACTTAAAATATTCTTTGTCAATTTTACTTCATTGTCCTTGTCTCTGAAATAAAATATAAATTATCTAATACTTTTGCTAAAAAAAGAAATATATTTTTAACTGAGGAATAATTTACATGAAATTCAAATGCAAAGATCTGAAACTCATGGATGAATTCCGAAAAGGCACAAATTTGCTTATCTATACTCTTTTTAATCATATTTCCTCTGTGCCCCTTGCCAGTGAAATCTAGCCCTAGAGAGAATCACTGACAATTCCTCAGCACCATCTATTGTTCTGTGTCTTCTGGAACTTTGTAGAATGGAAGTATACTATATTTAAGTTTTTATATTTGGCTACTTTCATTATAAATAATTTCTTTTTGATTGATTTATGGGATATATTTTAACAATTTATTCACTTATATTGCTCTGTAATATTCCATTGTGTAAATGCATTAATTCTCTATCCTTTTGGAGATGCCAGAGATGTTTCTAATATTTTCCTATTATAAATAAAGCTTCTATAAACATTCTTATATAAGGCTTTTGGTAGTTTTATAATTTTATTTCACTACAATAAATACCTGAGTGGAATTGCTGAGTGACTAGATAAACTTATAATTAACTTATTAATAAATTTCCAAACTTATTTTCAAAGTGGGCTTATTTTTACTGTGCTAAAGAACACATGACATGAAGTTTCCCCTTTCTAATCTTGCAGTGCAGCAGTGGGCCCTCTGCATACTGTTGGGCAACTCCAGAACTTTGGGAGTTTGCAAAACTGAAACTCTGCGTGCCTCAGCTTCCCACTTCCCCACACGCAACCTCTGGAAAATAACCATGTTTTTTTCTGCTTATAATAACCATTATAACCATTTCGGTTTATAGCCGTTTTCTGTTTATAATAATTTAACAAGTATAGATATCTCATAAAAGTAGCATCATACAGTATTTTTTTTTTATTAGTAGCTTATTTCACTAAGCAAAAAGTCTTCAACCCCCATCCACATTGAGGCATCTGACAGAATTTGGTTCTTTTTTAAGGCTGAATAAGAATCCCTTGTGTGTATTTCGCACATTCTGTTCATCCATTCATCAGTCAGTGACATTCCGACTCGTTCTACTGGTCGGCTGCTGTGAATAATGCTGCAGCAAATAAGGGGGAAGAAGTCTCTGTTCACGACCCAGCTTCAAATCACTTTGGATATATGCCCAGAAGTATGGATTCAAATTCAAAAAAATTTTTAATAATGAACAGACTGTTTTCCATAGGAGCTGCACCATTTTAAATTCCCAGCAGCAGTGCCAAGGGAGTCCAGTTTCTCCACATCCTCCCCAATGCCTGTAATTTTCTGGATTTTGTTTTGTTTTGTTTTGATAATGGCCATGCTATATAATCTTATTGTGGTTTTGATTTGAATTTACCCCAAAGTTAGTTATGTTGAATATTTTTTCAAATTCTTTTTGGCCTTTTGCATAACTCTTTAAGAAATGTCTATTCAAGTCCTTTGACTATTTTGTTAATCTGGTTATTTGTTTCGGGGTTTTTTGGTTGTTGTTGAATTATAGGAATTATTTTTATAATCTGGCTATTAACTTGTTATGGGGCATATGGTTTGTAAATGGTTTCTCCCATTTCTTACATTATATTTTCACGCTGTTGATTATTTTCTTTGCTTCATGAAACTTTTAATTCTTCCACAGTCACCTCTGTCTGTCTGTTCTCTTGTTGCCTGGGCTTTTGGTGTGATATCCAGGAAATCATTACCAAATCCAGTGTCATAAAGAAGTTTTCCTGAATTTTCTTCCAATTATATTATGGTTTCATGTCTAATGTTTAAGTCTTTGTTTTGAGGGAATTTTTATATATAGTGTAAGATAAATGCACACAATTATTCTTTTGCATGTGAATATCCACTTTCCGTAACTTAATTTGTTGAAGAAAAAATTTATTTCTCATTGTGTGACCTTGACGTCTTTGTTGACGATCCTTTGAGCATATATCGAGACTCAACGTCTTGGCTCTCGTTCTGTTCCCCTGATCCATACATGCACCTCAGTGCCAATACTGCTGCTCTTGTTACTATAGCTTTGGACACAGTGTGAGATTGGAAAATATAAAGCTTTCATCTTTGCTTTTCTTTTTCCAGAAATTTTTGGTTATTAAAGATCCTTTGAAGTTCTTTAGTTTTAAGATTATTTGGCTTTAAGATGTTTTTTTTCTATTTCTATAGCATAATGCCAATAATGCCATTGAGATTTTGCTAGGAATTGCATTGAACCTGGATATTGTAGAGATTATATTGGTTGCAAGGGCATTTCAACACTATTAACTCTTCTAATTCATCAGTATGGGATGCTTTTCCATTTACATGTGTCATCTTTAATGTTTCAATAATGTTTTGTGGTTTTCAGCAAGCCTTTCATCTCCTTGGTTTGATTACTACTTATTTATTTATTTATTTATTTGTCATCCTGGGTCGAGTGTTGTGGCATCATAGGTCACAGTAACTTCAAACTCCTAAGCTCAAATGATCTTCCTGCCTCCCAAGTAGCCAGGATTATAGGCATCAGCTGCAATGCCCACTTATTTTTCTATTTTTTGTAGAGACAGGTTCTTGCTCTTGCTCAAGCTGGTTTCTAACTCCTGAGCATAAGCACTCTACCTGCCTTGGCCTCCCAGAATTCTAGGATTACAGGTGTGAGCCACTGTGCCCAGGCAGCTTCATTTGGAATATTTCAAATTGTATTATTCTTTGTGCTGCTATTGTAAATGGGCTTGTTTCCTTAATTTTCTATTTTAATTGTTAAATTTTAATGAACAAAACACACTTTTATATATTTTCTGTTCTGCAACTTTATTTGTGTTAACCCATTTTAATGAAATATTTAAGATTTTTTTGTTTTTTGCTTTCGGGTTTTTTTTGCAGTTTTGGGCCAGGGCCAGATTTGAACCTGCCACCTCTGGTTTATGGAGCCGGTGCCGTACTCCTTTGAGCGACAGGCACTGCCCAAGGATTTTTTACATCTAAGCTACATCACCTGCAAACAGATAATTTTGTTTTTTCCTTTGAATTCTAATGAGTTTTATTTCTTATTCTTACCTAATTCTTTTGGGTAGTACTTCAGGTACTATGTTAAATAAAAGAGACAAGAGTGGATATCCTTGTGTAGTTTCTGATCTTAGAAAGATTTCAGTTTACTATCATTTAATACAATGTTGGCTATGAGGTTTTTATATATGGCATTTATTGTGGTATGTAATTTCCTTCTCCTCCTAGTTTGTAAAGTTCATTTTTGAAAGGATGTTGAATTTTTTCCAATTCTTTTTTCTGTACCAATGGAGATGATTATATCATCTTTTCCTTCATCCTGTTACTTTGATATATTGCCTGGATTGATTTTTTTTTATGATGAATCATTGTTGAATTTCTGAAATTAAAGACACTTGGTCATGGTGTGGTCCTTTTTATGGTCCTTTTTTATTAACCATTGTTAAGCTCAATTTTCTAGCATTTTGTTGAGGAATTTTAAAGCAATATTCATCAGAAATATGGGTCTGCAGTTTTCTTTTCTGTGGTATCTTTGTCTGATTTTGTTATCAGCCTTAAGTTTGAAAATGTTCCCTCTGCAACTGTTTTGAAGAGTTTGAAAAGGATTGGTTTTAATCATTCTTTAAATGTTTAGTGGAGTTATCCAGCTGAGCTATCTGGTCTTGGATTTTTTTTTTTGAGATATTTGGTTTCTGATTCAATATCCCCACATTTTCTGTCTTCACGATTAGGATTGGTCAGTTGTATATTTGAGGAAGCAGTTTTAGGTTGTCCTGTTTCCTGGCATGTAACTGTCCACGTTAGGATAGATATACCTTCTGATTTTGCAACATGACTTAGAGTGTCTACTCTTTCATTTCTAATTTTTATTTGATTGGTATCTTTTCTTCTTAGTCTTCCTAATGTTTGCTAATATTATTGATGTTTTTAATTAAATAATTTTTAGTTTAATTGATTTCCTATATTATTTTCTATTTCATTTTTTAATTTTTCTTAAAATTTTGTGGTATTTCAGGGGTATACTACTTTCGGTTATATAAATTGCTTTTGTACATTTCAGTTTAAGGTCACAATTGTGCCCTTCCCCCAGAATGTGTGCATAGTACCAGTTAGATGTGAATTGACCCAACCCCTCTCCCCTGTTTAATTCCTGTTGAGTTTTACTTCCATATGTGTAGGTAAGTGGTAATGTACTAGTTCTGATTTAGTATTGTGTTCATGAGCTGTTTGTTTTTCCATTCTTGAAATTCTTCACTTAGAAGAATGGTCTCCACTTCCAGCCAGGTTTTTACAAAAGATGCTTTAGTATTTGCTTCCTTCTGCTAACCTGGATTTAGGACCCCGACCCCCAAGTTCATGGAGACTAAAAGTTAGGCTGTAATTTGAGGTCATTCTTTTATAATGTGGTGCTTTAAAATACATGTGTTTGCTAATAAAAATTTCTTTCTTAGTTATGCTT